TTTCACACTTTTATTGATTGCCATTATACTATGTATAAGTTATATCTGGAACATCTGTGTTACCTGTGTTAATTAATTTAAAAAAATTAAACATTGAATACTTTTCTACTCAGTTTGAGCCTATATGGCCAGAATACATTTTGAGACTACTTTCCAAATGTAATTGGACAAGGGTAAGAGTTTACTACCTTCATTATATATGCACATGATTCTAATTCTTCTGCTGAATGCATCCAATCCATTTAAACTCCTCCAGCTATTGTGCAAGTCTCGTCAATTGCCTTCATTATACCATTCAGACTCCCACAAATTATTTTATACAGCATATAGTGCCTCCTTACATCTTGAAAACTCCTCCAATTCTTGATTCTTCCATCATTATTAAATCACTAAATTAATTTTGGAGATTTATAATTAGTATCGTGGTAACTATTTAGAGTCTCTGTTAACACTTGTATGATATGACATTATTATTTTTTAACATAGCTACTAAACTTGTTAAAAATCACTGTATTAAAGTTACCTGTATACAGATACGTGTACCTTAAATCATCAATAGTCCACCAGTAAAACATGAAGATGCACTCCGGTTTATCATTTGATATTTATCAACACATTAATGTCTGTTAACGAGCTGTTAATGATGTCAAAGCGATTACAATCCCACCATTACAATACTTTGACAACCATTTTAACATTATTGGTTTGAGTCCTATGCATTATGTTAAATACTAAAGCAATCACAAATCTCCCAAGGGAGAATTATTGACAGAGACGCATTGAAAAGTCAACACCTAAAGAGAATTGAAATCACACTTTTCTAACAATTAACTAATATACTGAAAAAATTGGGGGGAGGCGGGGAGGGGGGGATATATGAGCAGAATGAAAACCAAAACCACCAATAATACGTTGATGATATGTGCAAGTAACAGCAACTTGCCTTAACTAATTATTGCTTGGTAATCATTTTCAATTAATTAAGGGGGGCAGTTAAATTACAATGTAACAAAGCAAATCTGGTAATGTTACATATGCACATTATGTGCATAATAACTAGTGATGTCCCGAACTGTTCGCCCAACGGTTCGCGAATGGTTCGCCACGAACGGTTCGCCACGGACTCATCATTGAGTAAACTTTGACCCTGTACCTCACAGTCAGCAGACACATTCCAGCCATCACTAATAATAACTCAAAGGTAACTTAGTGATACACACACTGCAATGTCCACATAAAACATAAGAGGTTAACAACTCTAAACTGTTATCTTCAGTCGTTGATGTAATTGTAAAACAAACAAAAATGCTATTAATTTTGTCATTAACATGAGCCTTTCCAGCTCTACATCAGGAGATTATTGAGTAAATCACGAGTTAGGTCATGTTTTAAGACTTTCGGGGTAATGCTGTTAGTAAAATGGTCCAGAAATGTTGTATTGTGATTATTTTGAAAATATGATCAGTCAGTTATCGAAGCTGGATTGTAAAGTCCTTTTTGGATGATAATCTATGGATTTATTTTACACCAACATGCAAGGAGTCAGAGATTAATTATAAATCATTTACAATCTACAGTAGGAAATATTGAGTCAGAATTTTATATATTTACACCATACAGACTGAAATTAGGGAAATGTTATCCTTGAGGTACTGATTCTGGATTATGATCAAACTATTGTAAATTGTATAGTTCTGGCAGATACTGAGAATTGGCAGTGCTAATTAGGATATTCATTTGGTTTAAGCTGAAAATTCCAATCTATCTTGCTTAGCGCATGCACCTGCACTTTCTTTATGTAAATACACTTTGCAAAACGGCCTCCAAGTGCATCTACTAAAGCAGGCTATGGAACAGAACAATCCACTGGGACAGCAAGTGGTTTAATTTGTCACTGTCCATCTTATAAGATTTGTGGCACAGGCAATCTACCTAATGAGTCACAGAGGGTCTATGTGGAAAGGACCAGGGATAGAAATGGTCCCTGTGGATGGAACCTTTCAATTGTTAAAATTACACTAATCTGACAAAATTTGGCATTTTTGGCTTTAGGACTTTGTTGAGTATTTTTAAATCACTGTTAGGTCAAGAGGCTGTAGTTCTTGTATTCCTTTTTTTTTTTTTGTACGAAGGTCTATTAATGAGCTGGACTGAAGATATGCCACCATATCATTGCACATTCTATTAAATAATTATAGCACGGTGAGGGAGTAGATCAATTCTATATGAAACAGATACATATACAGATTGCACACAAGAGAGGTGCATTGTAATACCTTATGTGAAAAGAATGGGGTAAACTGGCAGCAGCCAGACCATATGCCATCTATGTAAAACTAGCAATGAGTTATGTATTTCTTTTTAGTAACTGAGTCACGGAATTTAGTTAAAAGGGGTTTTGTCACTTTGGGATTTTGGATACGGGGCTACAGGTTTAAATGTAAGTAATACTTCTTGAAGTTTGTGGACGTTATTTATTTTCCTTGTGCATTGTATTGTGTAGCTTGTATTATTTTTTATATTAACTGTTTTATATTTTGTTAAGCACCATGACTATACTCTAAATTTGAGAACCGATTTGTATGTGTTTTTAAGTGTGGCATGTTGAATACAACAGTACTACTCAAAAAAACATTCAGTTCATTGATTTTATACAAAATATCTTTCTCCTAAGCCCAAACTAAAAATAAAATTGCAAACATTACTTTGACAAGAAATAGGGCAAATAGACAAGAGAATTAAAAGGAAAAGAAAATTGCACCTAAAATATAATGTAATCTGGGTGTATTTCCAACATGTGTTGAGCTATTTTAATACTGATTGATCATAACCAGTAATTCTGTAGGTTAAATATTCTCATACAATATTCCTGCAGGATAAAAAAAAAAGGGTAGGAACTATTGATCAGTTGGTTTAACAATATAATGCATTTAGTATAATAAAAATGCAGCAAAGCCAGTTGTATTCCTGTGTGGACAGTTAATATGGTTGGTTTTATTCTGTATCATTACCTTATAATTAGGGAAACTACAATAATCCAATCATGTTAAGAAGAAGCTGTTTGTAAACATCAATAAGAAGCTTTTGTGGACTTACTCAAGTTAATCTTTGACTGGTGATACCGTCTGAAATGTAAGTAAAATGACCACTTAATCTATTTGTAATCTGTGAACATATTTTGTCAAAATTAAAACAGTAAAAAATATACCTTAAATAATAAACAAATTGGTGACAACATGAACACTCAGACAGATTTATTCATTTTTCCAAATGAACTATTTTGGGCTAAAAAAAATTAAAATTTACATTGTTTTCCCAACAATTCACAAATTGGTGAATATCTTTGTCAGTGTGTTAAATGCATTATCTCTATACAAAATGTATCTTAAGACTCAAGTGTCCTTGTTTTAACTGTAGTCGATAGAATGACAATCCATTCAAATCAAGTTTTGCCCCTTTTTCTTTTTACTCATTTTCAAGTCATTTCATAGCCTTTTTTTAAAATGAACAATGACAAATTTAAATTACACATTCAACCATTTCATCTCTTTGTTGAATATGTACTCCTTAAATCCAATCTACGTGGATAAAAAATAAATTAAGATGACCGTTTTAGTCAACTTGTATAGATTATAAAATCTAATGAATATTGCTTAGTACTCTATGATTCTTTTTTAATTTAACATTAATTACCAAAATGAAACTTTAGGAGGGAGAGCGCTTTACTGTGGGTAGTACTATTAGCTTAAAAGGATGGGAAAGTTTCAAAGCACATACCAGTGCACCAATGGTATTTTAATAGCCAAACATTGCATTTTAGATGTTAATTTACAGTAAAGAGAATCACAGAACATTAATTACAAGATAGGCAGAGGAACGTGGAAACAAATTATGGACTTAACGCAGCTGTAGAGAAATCAAAAGAAGTCCCTTAAATAAATAAAATTACTAAAATAAACAAAAAAGTATTTTAATGCAGCAAATAAACGGTATTTGAAACAAAACAAAACAATACAATGAAGAACCGAAATAACGCAATTCATATTGTTTATGGCATCAAAATATTATGAGCCAGTCTATGTACAATATTTACTTATCGATGGTGATAAAGCAGAATATATAATATATACGTTTTGTAATTGTCATCAGAATATCACACATCGTATAACAAAATAACGGTCACATTTTTTTGTCAGGTAATGAGACCATTCCCTTAATATTTGGTAGAAGCTTCAGAGATGCTTTATTCAAGTTTACCTTATTTATACTATCTCTCCTCTTAGCATCTTTAACTAAATGGTCCCCTTATTGGGTCAATTTCAGTGGAGGTTAGTCCACAGGGGCAGCTGTTTGTTACAATAAATAAATAAATAAATAAATACATAAACTATAGCAGGCTTCCCCAAACTCCGACCCTCCAGATGTTGCTGAACTACAACTCCCGTGATTCTCAGTCTATCTATTTCTTTCATAGAATCATGGGAGTTGTAGTTCAGCAACATCTGGAGGGGAAGCCTGAACTATAGCATTGTTTTTCTTTCTGCTGGGTTTGTTATTGTTGTGCAGTGAACATACAGGCAAACGTACGATGCCCCAACAGTAAGTATGTCAGTAAACAGAATGTAAAGGTTGCATGGCATTTCGAAACATTCATCACAGTTTTATAGTATAATATAGTTAAACTAGTCAATCATGGCCTAAACTATGAGAAAAGTAAGACTGGAGTTTCCTAGAAATCTTGATAGTTACATGAGAAATATACCACTGGACGATCAGATTTAACGGTGACAGTTGCTCAGTAGGGAATAATATCAGAGTAAAATAGCTTAGACATTGCAGGAATTGAGCAAAGATAAATTTTGAGTGAAACAACGAGGATGTAAGTAAATTGCAAACAATAATAATTAAGGGCATATAAATGCAAGTAGGTGCCAATTGGCATTACGGGATACCAGTACTGATTCTCTACTCAAGGCAGTATGTCCCAAATCAGCCAATACCCAGGATCGGGAAGGCAAGTTGATCACAGTGAGTTGCAGCATGACAGGAGATATATAGTATATCTCCCTTGTCCCGGTTCCAATCAAAGATCCATCGCAGTGAGCAGCAGTAGGACCTCCAACTGTATGGCTGGTGAAACAGGGTATTGTTCTGAACGACCTGCAGACTGTGCCAGCCAATTTCGGATTTCAGGCACAGGTGGCCGATGTGGCCGATGTGGCCGGTAGACAAAGGCAGTGTTCCGGGAAGCTCTTGCAGACCCTGGGTGTGGAAACTTTTGCATATTAAATGTGCCCCAAAGTGTCCCCTCCTCTCCAGTATCAGACTTCTATGTTTGGCTTTTTGCAGCTGAGACATAGATGCTTTCCCTGGTCCCTAAGTTTTAACCAGAAGTCTTGGAAGAAAAAATGCAGTTTTTCACTGAGTTCAGTGTGATGTGAGGCCTGAATAACAGATAATGAGATGGATCAGTCATATGAAGGTATTTACAACTGGGGAGGAGAAAGGGAAAGGGAGGGAGGGGGAGGAAGGGGGAGGGGATAGGAGGGGGGTTAGAGTAGCCATGTGTTCTATACTATTGAAAAGCCATGTGTTCTGTACTATTGAAAATTTAATCATGCAAGATTAAAGCTACGAACGAAACATTGCAGCAGTGACTGGTGTTTTTCTATCTCAACCTTCTCCGCGGTGTCCTGCCTCTTTTTGGCAGTTATTCGTGGTTTTCTCCATGAAAGTGTACACTCATGCACTTCACCTAAACATCTCCTGTGTTCCACCATTTCACGCAGTAGATGCTTCTAGTTTGTGTGTGACCTCGCACTTTCATGCGTTCCATGAGTAAATCATATCGTTAAAATTTAAGTAGTCCAATTATATATGTAAGTTAGAAATTAGATTTCGCACTCCTTGAATTTTAAAGATATGATGACGGACAATCTACCAATCCCAATGGAGATACAAGCCACGCCAGTCTTATTCCCAGAGGTCCCATACACCTTCCTCTGCTCACTAATGAGAGCTCAGCTTGTGTACTATGTATTCTCAATACCTCAGAAACCAAACCTCACTAGATATTTGACATGCTGTGAATCACTATGTCATGAAGATTATTATTATTATTATGATATCTATAGAGCGCCATCAAATTCCGCAGTGCTTTATAATGGGTGGACGAACAGACATGTAGTTGTAACCAGACAAGTTGGACAAACAGGAACAGAGGTGTTGAGGGCCCTCCTCAATGAGCTTACATGCTAGAAGGAGTTGGGTAAAATGACACAAAAAGGTAAGGATAGTATTAGACTAGTGACAGTTGCAGAAGAGGAATCAGTCAGGAGCTATTAACAGTTTAATTGACACGCTTTTATGAAGAAGTGGGTTTTTAACGATTTTTTGAAGGAGTGGAGACTGGGTGAGCATCTAACGGAGGAGGGAAGCGAGTTCCACAGGAAGGGTGCAGCCCTCGAGAAATCTTGAAGGCGAGCATCAGAGGTGGCAGAACGGACAGAAGATAAGTCTTCAGCAGATCGTAAGGGCCTAGACGGGACATACTTGTTTATAAGGGAGGATAGATAGCATTATGTAGAGATTTGAAAGCAAGAACCAGAATTTTAAATTGAGCTCTATATTTTATAGGAAGCCAATGTAGGGACTGACAGAAGGGTGAGCCATGGGAAGTGCAGGCGGACAGGAAGATGAGCCTCGCCGCCGCATTCATTATGGACTGTAACAGCGCTAGTTGGGAGCACGTAAGACCACTAAGAAGCGGATTACAGTAGCCAAGGTGAGAAAGGACAGTGGAATGGACCAACACCTTAGTCGCATCTGGCGTTAAGTAGGGGCGGATGCGCGCAATGTTTTTGAGATGGAAATGACAGGATTTGGCGATAGATTGACTCCGACCTCTCCTTCAAGCCTCATGTTCAAGGCAGCGAGCCTGCGTAGTGGAGCTGATGGTAGCACCGTTGACTTGGAGGGAGACAGACACAGGAGTAACAACACTTGAGGGAGGAAAGACCAGAATTTCAGTTTTGGTCAAGTTTAGTTTTAGGAAGTGGGCAGCCATTCAGTTAGACAGGTAGATTTGCATGTCATCTGCATAGAAATGATATTGGAAGCCAAAGGAGCTAATGAGTTTACCAAGGGAGGCAGTATAGATGGAGAACAGTAGAGGGCAAGGACTGAACCTTGGGGGACACCAACAGAGAGGAGTTGGGGAGAAGAAGCAGAGCCAGAGAAAGAAACACTAAAAGAGCGCTGGGAGAGATAGGATGAGCACTAGGAGAGAGCAATATCTTGTAGACCGATATTGCAGAGGATGAGAAGAAGCTGTCGATGATCAACAGTGTCAAAAGCCGCAGATAGGTCAAGGAGAATTAGGATAGAGTAGTGACCATGAGATTTTGCAGCGAGTAGATCATTGGATACTTTGGTCAATGCCGTTTCCATAGAGTGCTTAGAGCGGAAACCAGACTGAAGCGGGTCTAGCAGAGAGTTGGACTCGAGGAAGTCTTTCAATCTCGCATACACAATTTTTTCAAGGATCTTGGAACAAAAGGCAGTAGCGAGATAGGACGATAGTTGGATGGGGAGTTAGGGTCAAGATTGGGCTTCTTTAGAATTAGGGTTACAGTTGCATATTTGAAGGGCAATGGAAATATACCAGAGGAGAGAGAGAGATTGAGAATTTTAGTGAGAGGTGAAGAAAGAGAAGAAGACAAAGTATGGATGAGATGCAAGGGAATTGGATCTAGGGAGAAGGTGGTGGAAGATGGAAGATTACCTTCCATCCCGGTGCATATCACAGGTATACAGTATGCTGGTGGAGGACAGATATCTACTGGCCCCTCCATGCACAAACAAAGCAAAAGAAGATCTCCAAACCTCATTTATGGAAGAGGAATGGGACAAGATTAAGTGTGCTTTAAATCCAGAAGACACCATCCTTCATCTGACTCCAGGAAACCTTATACAAACTGTACACTAGGTGGTATCTCATACCTAGGAAGCTTCACATATGAGATCCCTCCATTCCATATATGTGCTGGAGATGTGGGGTGGACATAGGCAGCTAAGCATGTCTGGTGGGATTGCACTCAGATATTGGCCTTTTGGTCAGCAGTTGACTCAGTGCTCTGCCGTTTGAGCCAGCACCGTTTCACCCAGCAACCTCTGCAAACATTTGAAGGAGAACACATTCACAAGGCTACCAGAGCACTCCAGATCAAGGGCAGGCCAGACCCCACATTCAATATGTAAAATAAAGTGTATTCAAGTAGATAGAATAACAGCAGCTTTATTGGGGCAAACTCACAGCATGGTTTCAACACAATTGGGTCTTTTTCAAGCTTGGGTCAATTTAAAGCATTGTTGTGTGTTTGCCCCAATAAAGCTACTATTATGCTATCTACTTGAGTGCCTTGACCATCACCTTATTTTATACATTGCACTAAGGCATAATGATGATTAGAGTAGATGGCTATTTACTGGCCTGGGACTGGGGAGGGGAGGGACTTCTTGAACATATTCTTGAGTTGGACTCTGCTTTGGCTCACAAAGAATACACATGGGTACAGACTAGAAACAGGTCAAGAGCATATGCCAAAGTCATCTCTAATACGGTTGAAAAAGAACAAGGCCAATGTTGATGATTCCCCTCCCCACTGACTGTCTGGTGCAACGTTACCATGTAACCATAGTGCTGTTGCACTATATCAATAAAAGTCAATTTTAAACAATATATCAATATCATCTACACACCACTTGTACTTAAGCACACTTATAAAAAGGGGTATTATAAAAAGAGGAGGACATACATTTACAGTCTTATAATAAAATGCATCCATGGAGAGCTGCTTGGTCCAATGGACATGATAGACAATTTTTTATTAATTTACAGATGAACAGTGGCTGAATGTATATAATCCAAAATATTAAATTGAGGACATAATTAGCTGATTTGTATTTTATATGGAAATGTAAGGTTCTTTGAATTTTATTGCATAACAACTAGTTTCATTAGTATGGCATTATCTCCGTGGTAGAGCTTTAAATACATGTCATATTTATTGTTCGTGTAGAGTAAAATATATTCTATCTGCACTTCCAGTACAGACACTATTTTTGACCGTTGTTTATAATTCTTTAAAGAGGATGATTCACAATGATGCTTTCAAATAATTATGCCTGTACATTTGTCACTTTTGTGAATATACAATACAACACCACTCTCTGGGACATTTCTTTTTTTGTACAATGTAACTTAAAGAGTGCTTGTGATTAGTGATGTCGCAAACATAAAATTTTCGGTTCGCGAATGGCGAACTTCCACAAATGTTTGCGAACCAGCAAACCGGGCGAACCGCCATAGACTTCAATAGGCAGGAGAATTTTAAAACCCACAGGGACTCTTTCTGGCCACAATAGTGATGGAAAAGTTGTTTCAAGGGGACTAACACCTGGACTGTGGCATGCCGGAGGGGGATCCATGGCAAAACTCCCATGGAAAATTACATAGTTGATGCAGAGTCTGGTTTTAATCCATAAAGGGCATAAATCACCTAACATTCCTAAATTGTTTGGAATAACGTGCTTTAAAACATCAGGTATGATGTTGTATCGATCAGGTAGTGTAAGGGTTATGCCTGCTTCACAGTGACAGACCAAACTCCCCGTTTAACGCACCGCAAACAACCGCAAACAGTCCATTTGCACAACCGCAAACTCCCCATTTGCACAAGGTTGGATACCAAACTAGCCATGTCCCGTTCCTTGTCCTCACTGATGTCATTGAAGGTCTCTTCCTCCACCCAGCCATGTACAACACCAAGGGTCCCCAAAAGGTGACAACAAGCCCCCTGGGACGCCTGCTGTGTTTGGTCTTCCACCTCCTCAAAGCCACCTTCCTCCTCTGACTCCTCTTCTTCAGACTCCTCTCTCTGCATTGCCTCTCTCTGCATTATTATAAGGTGTGTTAAGTAGTACTATTCCTATCAGTTTAATCCCTGTTACGTCCCCTATCAGGGGACGTGTATATGGCATCGATTTTAGCAACCGGGAGATGGAAAAAGATGTTTGGTCGGTCCTCCTACTTCAAATTTGGGGAACTGAGCGTGCAATCTAATGTGCCACCAGATAGGAGTGGTGTGTTAAGTAGTACTATTCTTATCAGTTTAATCCCTGTTACGTCCCTTATCAGGGGACGTGTATATGGAACCGGGAGATGGAAATAGATGCTTGGTCGGTCCTCCTTCTTCAAATTTGGGGCACTGCACGTGCAATCTAATGTGCCACCAGATAGGAGTGATGTGTACTATTCTTATCAGTTTAATCCCAATGTCACGACTACTAGTGTGGTC